CCATTTAATTTCTTGGAAGTCATTTACATTGGTGGAAGTTGGAATAATGACAATCTACCTACAAGTCTTCTTGCCAATCATCATAGTCATAGACCAGTAAGACTATAAAACCACAGTATACTGAAGACAAAATAATTATTGATCATCCTGGTTTCAGTAACCTATTCCAAAAATATAAGCTGTCATTCCTATAGCTGTATGCCAAGACCCTGGAAGGGGGACAGGCAGGTAGCTGGCACCACACTGATGGCTGCATTTGACCTAAACCAACTGCACTTTAGTAGCCACTCTTCTGAAAGTTGCAAATGTTGCAATAACCCCTGCAGATCCAAAATACTTACTTCAGACACTTCCCACTAGTACTGTGGCTGTGCATGTAGGAAGCATAATTCCTGGCGTGTCCTACTTTGTCATCCTTGCTTGGTTATAAATGCTGACAAATGTGAATTGATATTTTAGATTTATTCAGGGATGGCTTTGGAAGCAATCCCCTTTTCCACTGCCTGATTGCTGAAGCACCCAATCAACAAATAGAATCAGGTAATGTAGATCTTTCATCTCTAATTTAATCCAGAATGTATTTTCTATATCTGAAAACAAAGTAGAGTTATAGCTCATGTAAATAGCACTAAGAAGGGTATAAATGTACAAACTGGTGTATTTTTAAATAAAAAAAAACTGTTACGGTAGCTCTGGTTATACAAATATTAAAAAATTTAAGAACATATGTTCGTTGTGTGACACTATTCCTGGGGAGATGTGAACAAATGTCTACTCACCCCAGATAGGGGACCAATGACAGACCAAAGTAAAGATACCACAAAAGTCCAACTTGATGAACCAATGAGTTTTATTGGCAGATTTATAAGAGTATGAGTGAGGAGTTCCTTACAAGAGCAGAAATGACTCAAAGGAAACTGCTTCACCAAAATCTTACCCCAGTATGGGTGATGGTGCCCCAAAGCAGGACACCTGAAGTATACTGCACACCATGTGGGCAGCTCAACAGGTTGGAGAGTATCCTTTCCAAGTAGCTCAATTGGTCTGAGCCTCTTCTAGGCAGCTCAGCTTGTGGGAGATCCCCTCCACACTCCTTAGGGTTTATATACACTCGGGAGGGAGAGACCTAGTGAATCTGGTCAGTCTCAGAGACTTCCTGAGGCTACTGGGTTGTTTACTTCCTGAGCTTATTGAGGAGCTTTCTGCAGGATGGACTTTCACTTCCCTTTGGAGCATCCTGTTTTAACTCCCTTTCAATATCCTGCCTCTTAAGAAGCTTCCCTACAGGATGGACTGTTTCATCTCCCCTCAGAACATCCTGCATCATAAGGAGCTTCCCTCCAAGGTGGAATATCTTATCTTGGAGGAAATTGATTCACAACACTGTCAAACCACATGAAATACTATCTTTTAAAGGTTGTATATAATCAAAGTAAACCTTCTGTATTGTATATTTTTCTATATTGTATATTTATATACTGAGACTTTATCCATCAAGCATTTATTTCTTTACTAGTTAAAACAAACAAATACCCTCTGGTATTCTATTTTGAGATTTATAAATTTCTATGATTTAAAGCATTAGCCTCTTTTTCTCCTCTCTCCTCTTGCCCTAGGAACACTAACTATTGGATTTGCCATGTACTACTTCACATATGACACACGGATTGGCAAGGTGCTTCACCTAGAGGACTTTTATATCACTGAGGCTTATCAAGGTAAACGTACAACTATAATGCTACTTACAAATACTTTTTAAATTAAGTTACATTTTAATGAAAGGACTAGAGACTCATTTTTGTGTCACTGATTTTTAAAATAAATAATCTATTACCACTTTATCATGCTAATTAGATATAAAAATATATGAAAAACATTCAGATTTGAGCCTCAATATATGCTATTTAGAATATATGACAACAAGATACAGGGTTTTATATCTTATTACCTCAAAACTAAAGCAAGTAACTACTTAAGTGAAGTTTTTCAACCTAAAGTCTCCATTTGGCAATACCTATTTTACAGGTCAAGGTATTGGGACTGAAATGCTGAAGAAGCTAAGTCAGGTATGTATTACAGTTAGTATTGATAGTCTATATATTACCTTTTTATTCATCAAGCATTATTAAACAGGGCATAGATTATTTAATCATATCACTTAAATGTAATACCAGGGCTGGGGAGATGGCTCAGTTGGTAAAGTGCTTGCCTTGTAAGCATGAGGACTTGAATTCAATCCCCAGAACCCATATAAAAGGCTGGGAATGGTGGTGCACACTTGTAACCCAGTGATGAGGAGATGGAACAGGTAGAGACTGGTGGATCTCTGGTGCTTACTGGCCAGTCAATCTAACTTATGTGGAGAAATTTCAGGCCAATGAGAGATACTGTCTCAAACAAAAAGTGGATGGCACCAAAGTTGTGCTCAGATCTCCACATATAGATAGAAAAAAGAGATAGTGAGATAATGTGTAATCTACAAGCAGACTACATTATCTTCTATCAATGATAAATAAACATGAGGGACAGTATAATGCAATTTTACTCATGAAATGTGATTTGTAATGATAGAAAATGGCCTTTTATATTTATGGAATATCTGTGAGAACATGTGTTATACTTAATGTAAACTTGTTTTGTAGAATAAGAACTTTGTAAGTCAATTTGGGGCTTATAAAGAATTTAAAGGCTAGACTAGTAGGACTGTTTTTTCTTTTCACATTTATGGATAAGTCCAAAAGACAGCTATATTATTTCAAATTATTATACACATATAGTATATACAGTAGACTGTCAGTAAAATGTAAACAACTATACTGTCAAATAAAGATAACTACCTACTTGTTTGTTTTGAAATAGGTAGCACTCAGCACCCAATGCAATGCCATGCAGTTTCTTGTTGTCATTTGGAACCAGGAGTCTGTTGAATACTACACTCGTCTAGGGGCTTTAGACCTTTCCTGTGAGGGAGGCTGGCATTTGTTCAGGTTTAAGGTAGAAGATCTCCTGGAAATTGCAGAAGAATGAAAAAAATCCTAGTTAACAACTCCTCCCAACGTAGGCTCCAACATTTGAATGTCACCTAAGTAACAGCACTTTAACTTTGAATGTTGTAAAATACAGCAAGTGATCCTAATATTCTTGTACATATTTTATTTTGAAATGATTTTGCAGATATAGTCAACTCTCAATTACCCAAACTAAATACTAATGACTTATAAGAGTTCTCACAATATAAGAGTACATAATTCAATAACCACTGACACTGGGCTTTAAGTTTTTAATAACTATATTTCATCAAGTGTAGGATGCTGATTTTTTCACATTTTAATATATTTGAGATTGGGATAAATGCTACACAAAAATGATATCTTAAAGATTTATGATGCTTTATGTAAGATGAAGTATGGTATGTTTAAATAGAATTAGGTATCCATTAGAATAAAAATCCATTAGAATAAATCCATTAGAATCCAAAGTTCTATTAGAAATGGAAGTAGGTATCCATTAGAATAGAACTAAAAATCCAGTGCTAAGTTCTAAAATCCATACTTATGAAAAAATACCAAGGAACTGACTCCTCATCCTGATCAGATTTAATATTGTTGTGTCTTCGCCATTGTTCCATAACTACATTCCATTTCTGTACATCTGCAACTCATTGGTTGTACTTAGACAAGATACCACATACCACACTGTTATTTATATGTATGTTTCTATCCTTCCTGGTAGAGTATAGTCCTTTTTTAGCATTATAACTATTATTATGTAACCATCTACAACCATCACAGCAGAACAGTTGAATTTCTGATATGTATGTATCAGCCGTACATATTAAGAAGACTTATCAATGAGAAAATGCTTATTAAAATAGTGTAGGTTACATACATGTTTTACTGATGGTCTACTGTATATACTGTCTGTGCATAATAATTTGAAATAATATAGCTGTCTTTTGGACTTATCCATAGATGGGAAAATCCCCAAAACACGGGAATATAGTAGACCTGTAAACTCTATGATGGAGAATTGAGAAAGGTGACAGTTGAACTGTGCTTGAAATGTGAGTAGGAAGTTAAAATATGGAGTGAAACAAAATAGAAGGCATACAGAGAAGAAACTGCATAGGCAGTGAACAAGAGTCATAAAGAGCAAAGCATGTTCACTAATCAAGTGGAATGTCACTAATATTAATTGGAAAGGTGTGTAAGAAGGCAGATAAGGGCTGGAGGGATAGCTCGGCCATTAAAGGCTCAGGCTAACAACCCCCCCAAAAAAGGAAGATCGGATCAGACAGTATGCATTTTGATTTGGTTCTAAAAGCAATGGAACTGCTGAAAATTTCATTAAGAAACCTATTTCAGTCTCAACTTTCAGACTGTAAGAAAGCACTTACTATTCTAATGAAAAGAAGTTAGACTCAACTTTTGTACACAGCACACCCTCCCCTTACCTCTTCGTGGTGTGAATGTGTTATGTTCTCCCTGGAGGTACAGAAGTCATTTTGTGACTATGAGGTATGCTAAAGAGTTCAGTGTAGAAAGCCTAGGTATTGATGTTACTAACGAACCATTATACTAAGCCTATACCACTTAATTTCTGGCTTTAAATAGATATTTATTTGTTTAACTACTGTTACCTGGTTTGTTTACAAGCAAACCACATTTTAAAGTAAGAGAGAGGAAGACTAGTGGTGTGCAGATTACCCAGGATGTTGCTTTCATTTCAAGGGAGTGATGATGAAGATGTGAATAAGAACACTAATAGAATTAGAGAAGGAAGAATAATAAATAGATTTGAGAAAGATGAAATTGGGAGAGAATAGACAGAATTTTGTGTTTGCCTTAATGGCAAGGATGTATATTTGACATGATGCATAGGTAGAAAGGCTCATCAGAAATACAGATTTGTCCACAGCACTAGAAAGACATAGGGTCTGTAATATGATACAGAAATGGTAGCTTAAGCCAGTGAAGCTGCCTGAATGAAAATGAGACTCTACACAGCGGGTGGAAGCTGAAGAATTTCAGCATTTAAAGAACTTAAAGCAACATAATAATGAAGAATAACAAGAAAAGCAGGAGTAACAGAAAGCAAAGGGAGGGAGTGGCTAGGAGTCAATGATTACCCAATAATTCAAGTAGGTATTGAGGTCAGGATGTTGCAAGTTTCAAGAGAAATTGAAAGAGAGGAAGGACAGCAACACTAATTACTTTTAAAAGACATACAGTAATCATAAGCGCTCAAGAGGAAGGACAGCTTGCAGAAAGATGTAGACTGTTTTGTCTTTTTACTTTGCTTTTGTATAGAAAAGCTAAATCATTTGGCAGTTGAGGAAAAGAAATAAATAAAAAGAGAAACCAGAGACTTGAGATTAACAGGATGAAACACAGTCCTAAAAAAATTGGGAAGGAATGAGACAAGGAACCCAAGAAGAAACATTAGTGTTAGGAAAAGGAGTGTGACTAAGAAAGTAACTCTAGACGTTAGATGGGGAGTTGGGAATGGTCAGATTCAAGAACTGTACATTTTTGTCCTATGAAACAGGAAACAGCCAACTTTGATGGGTATAGGATGCCAGAGAAGAATGAAAGGTTTATAACACCTCTTTAGAGAAACAGAACATAACACTCAAGAAACCAGTAGCAAAACTGCTAAGCGTCATTAGTACCATGTAGTATAATGGTCCTCGTAAATAGAAATGTTTTCAGGTATTTAAGAGTAGTGAAAATAAATAAAAAAAAGACAGAAATCCAAGCCCATATGCCATTAAGATATGGATATTTTATTCTAGCTCTGGGAAATAAAAAAGTAGAGAGAACACATCCTTCAATTCTCCATTCTATGTTAACTGACAATAATTGGAAAACTGGAGTAGATACATATGTGCATATGCATAAATATGTATACATACACATGTGTATGCATATTTTAAGATTTTACTCTCACATTCACATCTTCACTCTATTTTGATTTCTAATAAATTCTGGTAGAAGTCATCAACTGCAGCCTAGTACTTCTATTTCCGTTTCCTGATCAATTACTTAATATTGTTTGTGTTGCATTCATAATTTGTGTTGAATTAATTTTATGATTGGCCAAACTGTTCATTTGAAGATGTCATGGAAAAACTTCAAGTCATGCTCTGCCAGTTACCCATTACATGAGTTTTCAGCACTTTTTGCAACTTCATACATCTTGCAGCTCTCTATGCAGGCTCCCTCTGCAATCTATTTCAGCCTCTAGTGCTGTACATATCTCTATCTTCTGGATGAGACTGCCCGTGATCCATGAGCTCAGGGCCAGGTATAAACTGTGTAGCACCTGATGAAGCATTAAAGTGAGAAAAACACATTTAACAAATTTACTGTTGGTACTGAGAATACAGCAGTGAACAAAATATAAGATCTCTTCATGAACCTATCATGGGTGAGACAGACAGTAACATACATAAAATATATAGTAAATCAGATGACGGTAAGTGCTGTGCAGAAAAAGAAGGCATGGGGGAAAACAGGAAGTAATTGTATAATTTCTAGTTTTATACAGGGTGGCTGAGTGATATTTGAGAAAAGAGTTGGGGGAGATAACATATACCCTGTAAGTATCTATGGGAAATGGCAAGTGTAATGGATACCTCAAGACCTAATATGGCTCGAGTACAGTAGACAAATGGTGGTCATAGGAGTGTGTCATAGGTGTGTCATAGGAGAGGAGATCAGGCTACTTTAGAGTCGTGGTTAATATTTGGAATTTTTTTAATGAGATGAGAAGCTACTGGGGGATTTTGAGTAAATAAATGACATAGTATTATGTTTTAAATAAGAGTATTCATGTCTGAAGAGAAGAGACCATAGGGGAACAAGGGTGGATATAGGGATACCAGTTGGGAAGCAAATGCTGAGAAATGCTGAGGGTTTAAATTTGAATGACAGTAATGGGAGGGTGGAAAAAAGACTGAAAAATTTTGAAGGTAAAATGATTAGAACTTTCTAAATGGATTAAATATGTTGTGTGATAAAGACTACCTTGAGACACTAGAAGAACGGGGAGGACATTTGTTGAAACAGAACAAAATATGGAGAAGTAGAACTTTTGGAAAGTAAATAAAATGTTAAAATTTTCCCCAATTTTTATTGAGTTTTTGTGCATTTCATATAATACATCTTATTCACATTTAAACCTCCTCTCACCTCCTCGCCCCTCACAGGGCCCCACCAACAGATTTCAGGTATTCTGTCATACATGTTAAGTCCTATCCAGATGTCCCTTGGTGCAAGTTCATCCACTGGAGTCTGGTCAGCCTATCTAGAATCACTCCCTTAAAGAATATCTACTCTCCCTCACCATGCAGTAATCATTTGCCAATAGTTCCTTGGCTAAGGTTTGGTCCTGCTGCCCATTTCCCCCCTTCTATGCTGGGTGTTTGTCTGATTAGGCCAGCATGCTTCTTATACATGCTGTCACCATTGTTGCAAGTTCATAAGCAGGTTCCCAGAGGCCTGAATGCCCATTTCCTTATGTTCATGCAGCAACCCTGACTCTTGCAATCTTTCTGCTCCCTCTCCCTCAATGGTCCCTGAGCTGTGGGTGAGTAAGGTTTAGTACAGGATAGGACTCATAGGAGGTCTATGATGGGATTCATGTGCCCTATTAACTGAACTGGGAAAATTTGACTCTACCATTACTAATCTTTGAAGATGGACATTGTATTCCGTAATAAATGTAGGTAACAAACCACAACAGCATTACATTTACATTTTTATCACCAAAAGAAATCATAGGTGTTTTCATATCACACTATTATATAGATTATCTTAAAATATTTTCACTTGCCCCACTTAAAAAGTACAAGTTATCAAATCTATTACTAAACAATATTTTAATACATCTAAATATGATCATATATTACTATATATTTACTTTTACATTTTAATACATTCTGAGAAAGGCCTTATCACAAAAAACACAGGGTAAAGTATGCCCAGCACTAAGTGACACATCTACAATGCAACCTCTACACCTAAGGCTTATGGAACACAGCAGAACAAGGGCAGAGAGAATAGACTCTCACCAGAGAAGCTTTCTCATGCAATACATGGTGACTGACACAGAAAGCCACAACTGGCCAAGATGCAAAGAATAAGAGACTGAAGGGAGCATGTCCCATGATAGGATTCCTATACTAAACCTCTGCCACTCAGGGCTCAGGGATCATGGTAGAAGGAGGCGTGGGGAGACTGGAAGAGCCAACAATGGTGGATGACCACAAGGAAATAAGAGTTTTCCAAGCTTCTGTGAACTTGCTCATATGAATTTACAGTAATAGTGCCAGCATGCACAAGTCCCATGCATACTCAAACCAGACATAACCCAGCATAGAAGTGAGAAAACGGGTAAGAAGCCCGAACCTTAGCTGAGGAACTATTGGCAGGTGATCACTGCTGGATGAGGGAGAGTTCATCTTCCTTAAGGGAGTGGCGCTAGACAGGCTGAACAGGCTCCAGTGGATGGATTCACACTGACAGACATCTGGGGACACAAACTTGACTCCATAGTCCTTAACAATTATGACACAATACACGAACTCTGGTGAGGGGACTATGGGGTGTGCAGATAGGGGAGGGGGTCTAAATGTGATTATGATGTATTGTACAAACTACATTAAAATTCAAGAAAACAATTTAAAATTTTAAAATAAAGAACGGCTAGTGGCTCTGCTCTTGCCAGTTTTTCTCAAATGCATCTTCACTGCCACCTGGTGGCAGCCATCGTTCGAAGTGAAAAGTGTTATTTGAAAGTTTTTGGAAACATTTTTACCTTATCTTTGAGAATTTCATACACGTACAAAATAAAGTCTGATAATATCTAACCCCCATTTCTCCATTCCACCCCCTACCATATTTCCCCAAATATATGCCCCTCCGAGCGCCGTGTCTTTTTTTTTTTTTTTGTAACTAATTAAGTGTAGTTAGTATTGCCCATATGTGCACGTATGAGGCCACGCACTGTAACATCAAGAACCTACCAGTGGCCATTCATAGATATATCTAATGCATTGTAATCATATCTACCCCCACTCCCTCCCTCCACATCACCCTGGCCCCTCTCCTCAGTATATCTCCCTTCCCAGATCAAGTTTCCTCCCTCCTCCCACCCTTTTTTCTTCCTCTTTTCTTTTTTCCTCCTTTATATCTCCCTTCCCAGTTCAAGTTTCTCTCTCTCTCTCTCTCTCTCTCTCTCTCTCTCTCTCTCTCTCATCCTCTCATCCAATCAGTGCTGTTCATATGTGCATAGTTGTGGATTCATCCACTGGAGTATGGACAACCTGACAGTGGCTACTCCTCTAAGATAAGTGTATCATACAGATATATTAGTAGGGATGTGATAATTTAATATGGCTGTGTCAGATTTGCTTAACAATGCACATAAATTAGTAAGGCCTCTAGCACTGTTATTTTCTTCTTACTTTATATTCTTGTCCTGAATCTAGTCAAAGATTTGGTTCACATAAATTTCCTGAACTGGAAAAGTCCAGAATTCTGCCCTGAAATCACCAATCCTCACAAAGTCTTAAAGGGTTGAAATACATGTGGAAGTTTTTGTATAATTGTTCTGGTGAGAGGCCACATCACAGGAGATTCAGATGTGTAATTATTACATAGAGTCTGAGCCTATTAATTTTGAAGAAAAAAAAAACTTTCATGTAATTGTGTATGGATCCCTCCAGTTTAGAACCACTTAGCCTAAAGCATCTGGATTTTACTCTTTCTAAAAGCTACATCTCATGTTCATCTGACAGATTAAGGACCCTACATTCCCTGTTAGAAATCTGTCCACTCTGTGAGCTGATCAAAAGCTCTCTCGTTCTCCAAATGCATGAGCTGTCATAAAACTATTCTTCAGTGCCAATGCCTAGTCACTACACTTTCTTTGTGCTTTATCACATTTTTTGACTCTAATAACAACCAATTTTCTGCTTAATGGGTTTTGGTCCCCTTTTAAAAATGCCATGTCATAGCAACCAGAAAAGGAATAAAGATGTTTAAGATTAGAAGACAATAATGGATTACTTCAATGTTATTAGATAATTTACTGACAATTTATTCACATATTGAAACAAGTTAGCTATAAAAGGTGGGAGAGATCCCTCATAAATCACTCAGAAAAGTTAGGGTTGTTGGAAATTCTACGTTTGCTTGTATTTAAAGTCAGGATGACGTTCCATATTCACCTTCTCAGCAGTCAAACACTTAAAGAGACTAGCCACTGCAAAGTCATTTTTCACAAACTGCCCTATTTTTTTCTCTGTGTTTAAGTTAGTATTTTTCATTGACTTGTCTTTTGGCTAATTAATGCTGTATTCTGTATATAATCTGTTGTTTAATCCCACTCAATGAATTGTTCATTTTAGGTACTGTATTTTCCATTTCTAAAATATGGTCCTGTGTTTTTTTTTAATTGATTTCAAATCCTTGTGAAATTTTTTTATCATCCATTTTTGGATGCCCATCATTTTGTCCATCATTTTTTTCAATATAACATATGAATCACAGTTATCACAATGTCCCTTTCTGCCAATTTCAATATTTATGTCATCCATGGGTCTGGGGCTTTTACTTTTTTTCATTAACAGTCATGTTGTTCTATTTATTTGGATGACTATCATTTTACCTAGCATTTTGGTTGTATGGTATAAAAGAACTGTAGGTGTTCCAGCTGATACCAACTACCAGAGACAGAGCCTCTTTTCCTCTTTTAAGAAGGACGACACACTTATCATCTCAATCCAGCCAAGCATTGAGCTGGGCTTGGCTGTGTTATAATTTTATTCAGACAGTCGCTAATTTTCTAGCTCCTCCTTGTTTGTCCAGCATGGCACTCCCAATTCCAAACAAAAAAATTTCCATCTCCTTAGGACTATAAGGATGTAGAACATCTGGTCTTTCCCTGCAGAGGGTTAGGCTGTTTATTCTACTGATCTACAAACAGCTCAATGAATATCATCAGGGGGACAAAGTTTTACACATGTAGCTTAATTTCTTCCTGCAGAATAGGAATTGAAAATGTTTTCTGCAAAAGGTGAAGAGTATTTTCAATTTTGTGAACCTTATAATGTCCACTGATACTGTTCAACTCTGTCACTGTAGTACAAAAGAAACCACCATAGATAATATATAACCAAATAGATTTGATTATATTCAAATAAATCTTTATTGGCCAATTTTCATACATTTGTCTCCTGGAATAAAACAGTATTCTTTTCATTTTTTTCAACCATTTAAATTATGTACAAACCAATCAGCTTGTAGAATGTATAAAAACAAGTAATGAGTGAGCTTTGGCAATAGCTGGTAGGTTACTAGCCACTACTGTAGAGAAGCATTAATCCTGTAAAATTGTGAGGAAATTCATTCTGCTTTCATTAGATTTTCGAAGTGGTCAATGACATCAAATTTATAAATATATGACTCCCCAAATAATGTAATTTTAACCTTAAATGTACATGAGATAGTATGGACTAATGAAATTCATATTCAAAGCTATAGTGTCAGTCAAATATTTCTATTCTGTATGGTGATAAGTGGTGACCATAGCTAGATTTTCTAGCTATTGATCTTAAATTATATCAAATGAAAATCTGCTCATCACTAAAACATCTAGTTATGCTAGGCAAACAAGTTTTTAAAATTATTAATACTCATTGACAAATCTGTATATACGTGACACAGTACTTTACATTTAATCTTATTTAAAATAGGATGTGATGGCACACACCTATAATTCCAGCACTCGGGAGGCTGAGGCAAGAGGGCTGCCAGTAGTTTAAGTCCAACCTGAGTTGCATATTAAGATCCTTTGTGTGTGTTTGTGTGTGTGTGTGTGTGTGTGTGTGTGTGTGTGTGTCTGTGTGTGTGCAGATGAGAGAGAGAAAAAGAAAGAGAGAGAGAAAGAGAAAGAAAGAAAGAAAGAAAAACAGAGAAACAGAGGGGCAGAAACAGATTTACTCCTAATAGCAGTCTTGTGAGGATTATTTTGTGGATGAAGAAAGTGAAGCTGTGGTGTCAGGTATCTTGCCTCAGGCAATAGAATGATTAAATCATTGCATTTGGCATTTAGCCTTAAGTCATATCCTAAACCCATGATCATAATCACTACTGTTTCCTATGTCACAGAACTTTGGGATTATAGGTGAAATGGAGAAACCATAAATTCAGAGAGTAAGATAATCACCTTCCAATGACATATTGTTATGAACTGAATGTACACTCTTATGCTTTATACACTAAAACCCTAACCACCAACGTGACAGCATTCTGAAGTGAGGCCTCTTGGAAGCAATCAGGATTAGATGAAGTGATGTGGGTAGAGCCCTTATGAATGGAATTTGTGTTCTATGAAGTGTTGTCCTGACGACAACTTGTTTCATTTCTCTTCCTTACCATGTGAGGATACAAGAGGTCAACTATGAGCCAGAAGAGTTCAGAAGAACCTGGCTGTGCTGACACCCTGTTCTTGCACGTTAGTCTCTAGAATGGAAGATATAAACTACTACTATAAGCAATACAATGTATGGTATCCCTTTATATAGTAGCATGAACTCAGACATGTGATAATGACAAATATTGCTGTCATCTACTTCCCACTCCAGGTCTCTCTAGAATGCTCTTCATATACCACATCATCCAAGACAGGTGGGTAAAGGGTTCCAGAACATAGGTATATAAAGAAAAAAAAATTAGGTAAGGGTATTTCGGTCCCAATTTAAGCTTCCCAACAGCTGCGATTACAGGTAGGCACCACGATGCCCACCACTGATGACAGCTTTTATAAAGATTGAGAGAGAAGAAGGATGCAATTAGAGACTAAATTCTGGTTTTAAATTAGAAAAAATATACACAATAAAAAAAGGTGGGACTGCAGCATCTGGAGGATCTTGGCTATAAATATAGCTCTGCTACCGAGAAGCTGAATGATCTGGAAAAAGTTGTTTAAGCTCCTGAAACTTTTCATCATGAAATGGGAATAATTACTAATATATCAGAGGTGGGGTTTTTGTTTGTTTTGTGGGTTGAATAACAATATACATAAGGACTCTGCATCACAGTACATGTTTTATCAAGGGAAGATAATATCACTATTTCCACTTTTTTCCCCCTCTAAGTTAGTTATATTTCCTTTGCAGTAATGCACCTTTTTGGGTCGAATCATTCACACTGTTCAGAAAGACAAATCTATGCAAATCAGTGACTGGTAGGTTCATGTGAAGATGTGGTTTTAAACACTTCACTACATTCTTTTTTGATCAGTCAAATCATAGTAGATTTCCTTAGGAAATATAACTATCCCTTTTTGGTCCCACAAAGTATTAATTGCAAATACTGAATACTAGCAAAGTTGTAACAGTGCTACATCTATTATTTGATGCTGAAATTTCTCTTGGTGCCTGAACTTAATAAAACTACAGATGGTAGAAACCAAGACTGAAAGGAGACTGACAGGAAACTGACAGAAGACTGACAGGTAAACAGCTTGAGAAGTGGAAGCTGATATCCTTTATGTAGGTGTGACTCATAACTGTCAACTGATACAATCCAGAAAGGTACACTTTCCTCCTCCTGATAAAATAGATCACATTTATAAAGTGATATTAAATGTTTCACTCAAACTGGCAGTGCCACTCTACGCCCTCACACAGAAAGACTTGCATTATGAACTAGGTGGTGATTAAAAAAAATTCAAGTATTTAAGTCCCTTATGTTTATAACCCAAAAAGAGATTCAAAGCAAATATATTAGAGATAACATTCAGGAAAATATATAAGTTCAAAGTACCAATTACAGTGCTATAAAATGATTTAGTAAAATAATGGCAACAAAACTGAATAATTTCAAACAAACCTGAGGTGGGTTCGGATTTGGTCTTTGTCTCAAAGGTGAGTTCTTTTGGCAAAGGCACTGAATGTTTCAGGACATGCACTGTTTGGGGAGGTGGTTCATCAGACCTTCCTACCTGTTTACCAAGAAAGATTTGTCTTTCATAAATAAATCATTTTAATAAACAAATAAAATATAGAATTACATTATAGCAAGGTTTTGGGATTCTGCTCTTTATTTTCATTTTGTCCTCGGCTTCTATCTATTATCACCATTACAAACCAAGACTAACATCAACAAAAGTTACTGTGTACCTTTTTGGATTATTTAAACTTTACCTTAGTTTTTTCTTTAGGTTCAGGGAGTGGTTCTTTTTTATTGCTTTTTGTCCACAATGATTTAACAGCTTCATATATTTGCTGGCTTGTAGTGTATGCCTTTTTCCCAGTTATCTAACAATAAAAAAAGAAAGACAAGTAACATTTTAAAAGCTAAAACAAACATACTTTAAAATTTCTATCAGGGGCTGGAGAGTTGGCTCAGAGGTTAAGAACACTGACTGTTCTTGCAGAAGACCTGGGTTCGGTTCCAGCACCCACATAGCAGCTAACAACTGTCCATAACTCCAGTTCCAGGGGACCTGACAGGCTCTTCTGTCCTCTGTGGGCACTGCACGATACGGGTGCATTTATCTACATGCAGGCATAACACTCATACACATAAAGTAAAAATAAATAAATAAACAATTTAAAATTCCTATCAAGTTATTTATTTATTTATTTATTTAATAACCACATGATTAGAAGAAGCATTTCATTACAGTGTTAACATATTCAATAACAATTTCCAGAGCAAAGATGCATCTCTTTCAAAATTGGCTGTAATTTTTAGGTTAACAGTTGAATTAATACAGTTTTGCAATATTGTACTCAGTATAAACCCTATAAGACATAAAATTGAATGAGGTTTTAACCTTTAAAAAAGATCTCCATTTCATTTTAAAATACACTGTTTCATACAGAAAACCTTATTGTCAATGCTACTAACACTTAGATGTTTGCACATGTGTCTCTAATCTCTATGTATCTGATTATTACTAGTGAGAGTCAGTTACTTTCTGAGATCCTTGGCACCTGAGCACGGATATAAAATCATCAGGTAGATTTCAACAGTAATGTTTTTCACCTCTACTAATTAACATGAAGCGAATTTTTATGCTTTTTTATTTGTTAATTTTTTTGTGTGTATTTCATACAGAACATTCCAAACAATCTTATTCATCTATATACCCACATCCCAAATGGCACCCTCCCATAGCCTCCCTCACAACTGGAGGCCATACACTCTGTAATCCCTGTTACTGTCCACTGTGTTGTCAGCACACCCAGCCATTCCCCAGTGCTTGTCCATCTGCTGAATCTAGTCAGCCTATGTACAGTTCCTTCTTTTAGATCAGCTCTTCCTCATCTAGCAGCAATCAGTTGCCAATATTCCTTTAGATCAGATTAGAGTCTGCTGTTCATTTTCCCAGTTCCATGTTAGGTTACTGTCTGAGAGTCTCCTGCACCACCCTGAGGAAAGTATCTCCTGTCTGGCATTGTTTCTTGTTATGTAGCCTTTAGCTATACAAATGGATTCTTGAAGAATTATATTGATTCCTTCAGTCTTTGGTTATACTTTCCTTTTGGGTGTTTAAGACCATACAATTGGCCCAGATAGACCAATTTATTTTTACTCTCTTTTTTAAAAAAAATTATTATTTTTACTTTATGTGTATGTGTGTATTGCCTGCATGTAGATAAGTGCACCCATGTCATGCAATGCCCGCAGACATCAGAAGAGGATGTTGGATCCTCTGGGACTGGAGCTATGGACAGTTGTTAGCTGCCAGGTGGGTGCTGGGATACGAACCCGGGTCTTCTGCATGAACCACCAGTGTTCTTAACCACTGAGCCATTTCTCCAGCCCCTTTATTTTTACTCTTAAGGATGTTTGAGGATCTGTTCCTCAGGGGTCACATGGACTTGGAAGGAGCCCATGGCTCCTTTATTTCACCAGTTCCACCTATGTGAAGATAAGTCAAAGGTCCTTCTCAACCATGGCTGGCTTCACTTGGAAGCATGGAGGAAATGTTTATCTGTTTTGACCCTCTTCTATGTAGACCAGACACTGGTTCAAGTCCATTTGGTGGGGTCTCCATGGCCTCCTTGATCAAGAGGACAGGTAATCTGTGACAGTTACAGGTCATTTTGAGTGATTATGTCACAATCTACAGTAAAAATATCAACCTCTAGTTTACATAACACAAAGGAGTATTTCCCAAATCTTGTATGAAAAATTTCTTGTATCATGTAAAAGTCAAATGTAACATGTCAATTTAAAATTGCATCTATTTATTTTAACATTATTTTTGTGGTGTTAAGGATAAATCCCAAACCTTGTGCATGCTAGACTAGTACTCTATCATTGAACTGAACTCAAACACCTATTTTATTATTTTTAGTTTACATTTTCAGCTTTATTGAGGCATGGTAAGTAAAATTTGTACCTATTTAAGGTGTATAACATAGTGCTTTGGTATACATATATTTTTGTGTGATTCCTGTAGCCGAGCTAAACAGCATATCTATCAGCTCACCTTTTATATGTGGGAGGTGAAAACACTTAAAATCAACTCCCCTTGCAAATTTCAAGTATTCAATATTTATTTGATATAATTGCCCTACAACACATAGATCTCCTGAAGTTTTTGTCTTATAAAGTTTTTGTCCTGTAACTTAAAACTTTCATTATACACAAATACTTTCCATTTCTTTCAATCTCCAGCTCCTGACAACCACTGTTCTGTAATATTCCTTCTAAGATTAACCTCTCTAGATTTCATGAGTGATATCACACATTTGTCATTCTGTCTGACTGAGTTTGCATGGGTCTTCTGCATGTTGTCACCATTGCTGTAAGTTCATATGACCAAGTTCCCAAAAGTCTGGAAACCTGTTTCCTTATGGTCATCCACCACCCCTGGCTATTACAATCTTTCTTGGTCTTCTTTAAGGGAGTCATGCTAGACAGGCTGAACAGATTTCCGTGGATGAACTCACCAAGGGAAATCTGGGTATACAAACTTGACTCAATAGGCCTTTAGCATGTATGACAGAATACATGAAATCTGGTGGGTGGGCTATGGGGTGGGTGCAGATAGGGGTGGGGGTCTAAGTATGATTAAGATGTGTTGTATGAAATGCATGAAAGTTCAATAAAATATATTTTGGGAAAAATGATTTGTCATTCTATGTCCTTCCCTTTCTGACAAGATGGATTATGTTGGAAGACTTTATGCTAAGTGAAAATTTTATCTACAAAAGTTTGGGAAGAAATATTTTGAGATAATAAACAGCTCTCTGAAAAAAAATGAGGTTTCTAAGATGCTGTAAGTAAGATTAGTGCTTTTGCCTAAAACATTATAACCTGTTCTCCATTCCTGAGGGAAGAAATGGCACCAACTAATTTCCCCAGAGAATAACGTCTGTTTCTTGGGAGTGATGACACAACTGTAACATCCCAGCTGGAAGATCCTGAGTTCCAGGCTAGCCTGGGTTACATAGCAAGACTCTGTCAAGGAAGGAAGCAACAAAGGAAGAAAAGAAGAAAGGGTGGGGAAAAGGGAGGGGGAAATAAGCTACAAACATATAGAATCAGAGGCTAGAATTAATTCCTAAAATTTGTTACTTCCATTAACAGCAATTTCCCTATGACTATCTTCTGGTTTCTTCTTCTGACTTTTTCCCACCCTTCCTCGTAGTTAATATATATTGCTGTTGATGTTTTGCTTTGTTTTTTAAGATCAAGTCTCCCTGTAGCCCCAGTGGGCTTGCAACTCATTATGTAGACCAGGTTGGTCTCATCTCACATAGATCCGCCTAATTCTGCTGAGTAAAAGGCACGTGGCACTACACCTGACAGCTATTGATGTTTTATGAAGAACGTTTCAAGATTACACTTGCCACAAACATGATTGTTTAAGCAATATTTATGCTCGTCAAACAAAAAATATTTTATTGTTTTTACTTATTTACCTACACTTAAAAACTTAAGCAATACAAAGCTGGGTGGGGATACAACGCAGTAGAAGAGCACTTGCCTTGCATGCATGAGACCTTATACTCCCTCTCCAGTAGAGAAAAACATAAAAGCAATACAGTAGTTTAAAGCAGTCTTCTTTAACAAATTCCCTATTGATTGGCCTATGGGCTATTTGCTCTTTCTTCATATGGAAACAGGTATAAGCAATGCTAAAATTAGTGCCCTATTCCTGAAACATGCAACTGGGATCATTTACAGTTGAGTGAAATATCTGAATTAAGGAGCATACTAATTTTGATTTTATTATCACATTGCCTTCCAGAAAGTTAGCAATACACTGCAGCAATTTACACTCCCATCAAGAGCATACATGTTTTCATACCCTATTTAACAGCACAAGAATTATGAATCCTTTAAGTCTTTATGAAATTGATAGGCAACAAATGAGTACACCAGGGTATGCTCGGTGGTAAAATACTTATATATGAGGCCTGGAGCTTTAGCCTAAGCACTATAACAAAAACAAATCCTATCAGTACCAAAAGATAAATGGTTTAGTAAGTTAGTATTTATGTAACTGCTGATAAAACCCTAGTATCATTCATATGTTAGGTCATTCGTACATCTTACCTTGTGGATTCCCTACTAATATACTTTTTCTACTTTTCTAAGGAGTATACATCTCTGTTACATATTTGTAGGAGCTCTATCTAAATAGATCAAGAATGTTACCCTTTGTGGTATGTATTGCAAGTAGTTTCCCAAGTTTTTCACTTGTCTATATGGTGTACTATAATTATTTTATAATTATTATAATTTGTAATTATACTGTAATTATTCTGATGTAGTCAAGCACATCAGTATTTCCTTTGATGGCTTCAAGATTGTGATTTACTTAATATCTTACTTATTTCAAAGTAATTTAAACATAATTCTTGTTTTAAACAGCATTTCAATTTATGACCAGATCTTTATCCCATCTAAAATTTATTTCTGCTTGATAGCTTGTTAAAGTCTTAAGTATCCCCAAGTCATTCTTAAATACTATATCCTTCCTTTGCATACTAACCTGAAATTCCACCACTGTCATATAGTAATCCATACTCCTATGTATAAAAAGATATATTTAATATAGTTTGAAGAAATTTTCGTTAAACTTTTTACCTATTTTATTATTTTCACTACAGCTTAGTACATTGACCAACACATGGTAGACGGACCAAAAAATGCTGATCGCATGAATCTCACACTCCACCCAAACCCAAGACTTCTGTGAGAATTTAATTAAATTTCTAGATTTAGGAATCCCTGCCATATTTCAATATTATTTTCACCTAGAAACATTATTTCTGCAAACATATTCAAGGAT